AAAATCACCACCACCGAGAAAACCACATACATCTGGCAACACACAGATCGGAAGAGGAAACAACAACAATCAACCACGAACAACAGCCACACACAGATCCACCATACACCCACAGATTCGTCTCCTCTTCGATTCCCTCAACATCGATCCATACAAACCACCACCGAGCTACATACCCATTTCACTGTAATTTCCTCGTCCACCTAACTGTAATTTCCAGGTTGCCACATCCACCAGTTACACTGCGTTCAGCTATTACGAGTCAGTTGCATCGTGCTGCTATACGCAGAGACGCTACTGCCAGCGTCACGCTACTGCGACGCTGTTCGCCCTGTTGAACATGAGGGGGAGGAGATGGGGGAGGAGAAGAAAAAATTGAGGGGGAGGAAGGATAAGAGACGGAAGAGAGAAGAGGATAAAGAAAAATGATGGGGATTTGAGAAATGGGATTGAAATTTGGTGAGGTAGGTGGTATGGTGGGAGGGGAGTGATAAATTAGGGTTATCAATTAGATTTTAATATAATACCTGATTTTTTGAATAAATAAACTGTAGATCTGATTTTTAAAAAGTAATCTTTAAACATCTGATTTTTTATAATTTCCCAATTAAAAACGCTACATGCTTGAAGGCCCAAATCCGAAATTTCAAAAGATGGATTAATTAAATATTCATTTAACTATAATTTTTTTGGTCGATCCTAACTTGGTTTGATTTTATCCAAAATAATTTTTCATCAAATCTAGAATACATGATTAATTACGAACTACAAAATGTGCCTAATATTATTACGGTAACATGGTTTAATTTAGAAACTAATATTACATATAAGTAGTTTACTTTAGTGAGATATAACTTGAATTTAGTTTATCCGAATTATTTTTTTCTCGAATCCATACTATGCTATTTATTAAAAGTTTCGGAATGAGTCAAATATTGATAGGATAATTTTCGATCCTTTAATAAATACACACTTGGTCCAAATACATTATTTTCACTTTAGTTACTCAAAATCTCAAATTTATCAAAAAGTTCTTGAATCAAAATCATTAGAATCTAGTTATGTTTCTCATCATTAAATATTCCTAACTCATTATGTCATCATCTAAAAATATATATTGCTCACTCTTTTGCAATCTAGTCCCTAAAATTTGCACTTTCCGTAACTGAAAATCATTCTTCTCTTTACAAGTCATCCTTACAATATTCTCAGGGCTTCAACTTAAAACTTTCTCATGCTTTCTAAATTGCTCCTTACTCGAGTTTTCCCAAATAATAATTTTGGAGATTATTATTTACACTCTAATAATATTTTCTCAATCAACGGGAGAATGCTGCTAAATATTATGTTACCCTAGTTTCTCGAGTTATCAAGATAATTTTTTTTCCTACTCTATCTTTTAGATGGTACCAAGTTCTCGTTTAAAATATAAATATATTGTTTATTTAAATATTTAAGTATTTTTACACTTGTAAAAAAAAAATTACATTTAAGGGCCTCATAATAATGAGTCTTCTTGAGTCTCGAAATTCTCAAGACCAGCCCTGCGAGTTAGCTTCAGTATGTAAAGATCATTCATTCATATTACTACTTTATTTTTCTCATTTTCTTTTTTATAAGTATACACATTTAGATATTCGAATAGTAAGTTCAGAAACTTCAGGTTTCTTCAATCATGCTAGGATTGTGTCATTTTACTTGATGAATTTCCTTCAATATTCTTGCTATCTTTCAGAATATGAAGCTCTATGTTAGGTTTTAGATGTTTTATAATTGGCGATTCTGTAACAAAAGACTGAATTTTACTATGTTTAAAAAGTCAAGAAGTAATGTGCAAATAGTTGAAAATAGGGTTATTAGATCTAGGGTTCGAGAATGGCAAAAAGAGAAAAACGGTGCGGATTTTCTCTAGACAATCGCCAATGTTTGGCTCGAGCTACAAAAGAAGAAACATTGTCACTGGACTGTCGCCCATTCCTCGCTCGAGCGAAGTGTTTATTCGGAAAATTTTTATTTCGGGATTTAAAACCTTTTCACCCTGCCCATTCGTTTTTCTAACCTACCTATATATACCAAAACACTTCTGTACGAAAATTGTGAAGTTGAACATTGAAAGAACTTCATCTGCGAGAGATTCATTCAATTTTATCTTTCAACATTCATCTACTTTGATTATTTTGGTGAGAAAAATATCGTTTCTATAATCCAAATACCAAATTGCTTTTCCTCCATATCTAATCAGAGTTCTGAAGATCGATGACGTTTGACTGGAGTTCCACGGGAAATAGACGATTCCACAAGGCTAGGAGTGCTGCATGGTAGCAGATTCCACGGAGGGTTTTGGCAACAACAGCTAATAATTGGTGCAGGGGAGCACGAGATCTAGGGAGAGCCGTAAGGAGTGCTGTGGAGTGATCAGATAGTACGATTCGTCTAGTCTGATAGACTGTAAGTCGTTTGAATTGTTTATAGT